AAAAAAAAAAAAAAAGATCAGTGGTTCTCCGATGACTGGCTTTGGGACCAATCATCAACCCTCAGTGAGCAAAACAGCAACAGTCAGGGAAAAATTTCATTCAATTTGAAAAAAATAATAATAATAACTTGTTCAAGCAACAATTACAAAGCTGACATAAATACCATATAAAAACGAATTGCGTTAAAGTGAGATTTAAAACCAATCATGTTTACAAAACTACATTTTCTGCATAGTACCGGTTAGTTTCTAAATACAGAACAATACAATGTTTAGATAAAAAAGGTACTAAGTTGCAACTGGAATTTAATGCTAAAATGTAAAATTCAGTACTTACTGTAGATCGAGCAGCAGATCGTGTGTTTCTGCATTTTGTTTTTTAGAGCTCCCTTGTCACCAGACCTGTTCAAAAACCCTCAGAAGTGGAAAAAGGTCCCACCAGTTCAGATCTTTTATTTTAATGACCAAAATATTTAGACATGACTGTAATTCTTTCTGAATGATCACCCATATGTTATTACATTTTAGATTGTATGTATTTCACTGCTTAGTGAGGATCTATATATTTCTTATTTCGACAGGTCTGGCTATGTCTGAAGAATTACACTTTGACAAAATCACAGTTATACTGTATATTTACTGTACTTACTCTCTTACATAGGCATGGTTTGGATTGCCCTTATAAATTCATGACAGTAATAACAGTTTGATTATCTGAATTTTGTAGGTTTGGGGGAACATAAATATAACTAAAAAAGGCAAAAACAGGAAAAATATTTTTGAGGAAAAACTAGGACACTATAATTAATTACTATTGGTACAACAAAAAGTGAAAAAAATATTTTAATAGTGGAAACATTTGTGTTTTTTTATATATGTGATACCTTAAACTCTATGTTGTGACTTCTGCTATCTTATCCATTCAATGCTGCAGCACAATAGCTCATAGCAACACAATAAGGAATTACCTTGACACAGTGCACGACTTAAAGCACTCATAGGAGCCTCCTGCTGGCCTGGAAGAACTAAACTGCAGGATGCCTAATTTATGTCTCAGGCTGGCTTTGTCAGAGCATATTTTCTGCCATACTGTTTGTGTCTTTTGAGTTAGATTTCCCATTTGTGAATTTATTTAATCAAATATAAAAAATTTAAACATTTGTTTATAACAGATTCTGAACGTTTCATTCCAAAGTAAACCTTTGCTCCAGAAACTCGCAAAACAAAACAAAACATCCCATTTGATCATCTACTACAATTACGTTGCACAGTATGATGAAAGGATATCAATGAACTACTTATGTCAGAGGAAAAGAGCAGCATTTCATACATGAAACCCCACTGAAGCCATATGGGAGTTTGGGTTGGATCAGTAATCAAAGACACAAACAGCCTATGAGCGCGCCTTCTTAACATTTGAGCTGTGTCATATGACTTTGGAGATACAACCAGGAAAGCTGTGTTTTTGCCTAGGAACTTAACGTTGTGTTTGATTTAATACACATTCAAAGCTGAAAAAAGCAAATAAAAGCACAAAGGAGGTCAGTGGGGGGAGGGTTGGGTGTACAGGGTCTTTATCATGATGAAAAGGTACAAATAGGACTGACCTTTCTGGCACCAGCTGGGCTTTTGGAGCATAATGCATGTCAGAAATTCTTTCAGGCATTTTACCCCTTCCGCTCTGGGCTACACTTACAAGCCCAACGCTTAAGTCCAAACATCTATCATTTCACACAAAGACTCAAACACACAGATGCCACAAAACTCCCTTCTTTTTATATCACACAACCACGTTCACACCATAAAGTTCTCTATATCTGCAAACAGACCAGCGCAACTGGAGGCTATGGAAGGAAAAAGAGAGAAGGGATCACTGTAGATCATATCAACCCAAAGCTTCACTATGCCCAAACTATCATCACAACTTTTCTTTAAAAGTAGCTGATCAGCCTAAGACAGATCTTTTATAGAAAATAAATCTGTCCCAGCCTGGTTAGTGGGTCTCAAAAAGTTGACCTATACACCTACGATGCTTTTTTTTCTAAGGGGGGGGCCATGCAGCCAAAGGGCTTTGTGTGTCATTTGAAAAGGCAGCATGAAATGGCGGAACATAGGTCATGCAAACAGAGAATAACATTTGTGTGCTGTTCTCTTTTTTTGTTTGTCTTGTTTTGACAGTGGGAGTTGCCAATTCTATAGGTAAACTCTAGCAGACTGGAGATAAGTTTTCCCTGAGCTTGCAGACAAAGCCAACAGTGGTCATCATCTGAAAAGGTGAAGCGTAGTAGTCTGTGACGTGATACGGGCCTCATGGTCAGCAGGAAAGTATAAAAGGACCTGTAGGTGAGCTCAGAGCCATGCCGCAAAATATCCATAGCCCTTCAACCATGGGAAAGGTATGAGCACATCATGCAGCGAGGAATCGAAGTGGGCAAGAAGTGCTCTGTGTTAGAATGAGGCAATAGAAACGTGATCAGACCAATAGGAGGGAAAAATAAACTGACGGGACTGTGGTCATTTTGTCCCTTTAAATTTTCTTGCTTCTGCAGTTTTTGTCAGAAATGACTGTTCCAGCTGCAAAAAGAAGCATTCTCTAAACGAGACACTTTTTTGTGTCATAATCTGAATTTATAGGTCCAAATGAGAATCAGAGCCAAAGTTCATAGACCAATGGGCTAATGTTTACTATTTTAGAATAATCCAATTAGATCTAGGTATTACCAAAGTTTGATTACTGCTATCTTTCTCACAAAAAATCAACAAGAATATTTGGAGACTTGAAAATAAACAAACAAGCATTGGTTAATAACACCAGTATAGAATCTTCATTTTGTGCATGATGTAATTCTCACATTCTAAATGAGGATATGAATTGATGAGAGGACAAAACAACCTGAAACTCAGTCTGGGTTCATAAAAAATCTTGACTTTTCATCTTTCAGACTCTAGAAATGCACTTCCAGTGTGCAGCATTTAGTTTCTATATTTGTAAAATGAAAATGTAAAGTGCAACAGTTCAGACTTCAGAACTTACATTTTGCCTCTTTTTTTTTCTTTTTTTTTTTACAGATAGTCTTTTACGAAGGCCGGAACTACCAGGGCCGCCACTGGGAGTGCACCGGGGACTGCATGGACACCTTCCGGCACTTCAATGGCTGCCAATCCATCCGTGTCAGTGGTAGTTACTGTGTGGCCTACGAGAAGCCTAACTACATGGGTTATCAGTACATCCTCGGCCCTGGTGACTACCCTGACTACCATTCATGGATGGGCTTCAACAACTGCATCCGCTCCTGCAGGATGTTCCCCCCAGTAAGTGAATCACTCAGACAGACACAGATCAGAAGCACCCTGCTCCTAAACCAAGTCATTGTCAACTTGCAACTCATAAAGCTGCTTTGGAAATAAATGTTACTTACTCACAAATTGTATTCATGTAAAATCTCTGTTTAGAGTTCCTTTAATAGATCCCGTCATCTTTTAAAAGTAGAAAATCCCCCAACTAAGATTCAGTTTTCTTATTCCACTGCTTGCTACTCTAGAGTGGAGATTTTAAGCAGGGGGTCCGCGACCCCTAGGGGGTCCACACAGGTACTGCATGGGGGTCACAAATGTTTTGGTTGATTAGATTTTAGATATTAGATTTTTATATTTCCCGCTGCCGTTTTCTCAACACTGTAGTAAACAGATAAATGGAGGCAGAAGATGTCTTTCAGTCTTCAATGCACACATTCAACGACACACAGCTAGACACCTGTCCCTTTAACGAGGAATCAGAATCAAAAATACTTTAATAACCTTAAGGTGAAATTTCTTTACACAATTCAATACAATATATATAACTAGGGGTACCTGCTACATCTCACCATCAGTTTTGGGGTCCTTGGCCTGGAAACATTGAAGACCCCTGCTCTAGGGCAATACTTTAAGATGGTGAAAAGTCTAACTTAAAATTCCATTCTTTTTCATGTTTATTCGTACTTAATACCACAATTCAAGGATGATCTACCAAAGTTCTTTGTAGGGTGAATAGCAACCAAAATAAAATGATACTCTGATGTCTCTGACTTGCAGTATAGAGGATCCTACAGGATGAGGCTCTACAACAGACCCGACATGATGGGTCACATGATGGAGTTCATGGACGACTGCCCTAACGTGTACGAACGCTTTCACTACCGAGACATCTACTCCTGCAATGTCATGGAGGGCTACTGGATCTTCTACGAGCATCCTAACTACAGGGGACGGCAGTTTTTCCTGCACCCAGGAGAGTACAGGTCCTATAGGGACTGGGGCTGCTTCAACCCCATGGTGGGCTCTTTCAGAAGGATGAGGACAAGCATGTAAAACTCCAGCCATGCAGGCATCAAATGAACAATAAACTTCTAACTTTAAAAAAAAAAAATCATCTCTATGTGGGATTATTTACAAACACATACAAAATGATGTGTCTCTGGCATGCATGCAAGTAAAGGCAGATGTTGTAACTGCTATTGAAAGCCTCAGGGACCCCCCCTCAAAAAAACGCATTTGTAAAGTCTTTTTCTATAGACAGACAGAGCTTTTACAGAGACAAAGCAGCTGCTGCAGCTCACCATTCCTATAGTGTTTTACCTTGTATTGAGCAAACCGTGCTGACATGACAAAGCTTTAGTCAAGCTCACAAAGCCCTGATCCCAGCAGGATCTATAAAGAGGACCGGACAGAAGCTTTGCGCCGGATCTGGACTGAACCTAACAGAACAAATTCACAATGGGCAAGGTAGGCTCGAGTTCTATATAGCTCCTAATGTGCAAATATTTGATTTGTTGTCTTTACTGATTAAATCATTGCAAAACAATTTGTAATATTGCTGAGGGAAAAAACTGAATAGAAACAATTGTAATGCACCATATTACTAGTAAAATAACAGAAAGCAGAATAAATTGTAAAACGAACTAAGCAAAATATCATGACAAGTTTTAAAAATTGCATAGTTCTTTCTTAGTTTAGTCTCTGTCCTGTGTGATGGCAGCAACTAATCTACCAGTCTGCTGAACTGTTCATCAAGCTGACTTGCTTACATGGCAGTCCTTGTTGTTAGTCTGATGTCCCATTTTCCTCTTGACCGTACCTCCACCAGCAGGGCAGATTAGCATCTAAATAAAGCTTGTCACCATAAAGAAATATGTGCTTCCTATTAGACATTACTTTGCACTTGATGAAAAACAAAGACTAACTGCAGTAGACTTACCTCCCTCCATATAAACTTGGATTCTGGACCCGTTCACTCTTCCCAAGACTAGGAACGTGTTCATATTTTTTTCCTTCCACTTAGCTTTCCTTCTAATACACTTGGAAAGAACAGTCCTTGGATAGCCAGTGTCTTGTGCCATAACTTTTGGTAGTTTACTCCTATTATCAAGGTGTGTGTGAGGAAAATCTGTCCCACCTACAGTCTTTCCTGTGATTCCAGGAAATAACATTTCCGTTTTTGCATTAACTTACTAAAACAGATTAGGTGTAAGGTGATATTCTAATTTATCAAGAGAGTCTCATATTTTAAACAAAAACATTTGGTAGGACAAAGCAGATCACTGCAACTGAACCAGAGGTCATTACTTTACTAGCAGTGGTCTTGAAAATAGAAAAAGCTTGATAAGGAATCATGTGCACTGATGTGTTTAAGCCTCTAATTAAGCTCTTTATTAATCAAGTTGATTTCCACTCCAAGCCATCTTTAGTTCGGTAATGCCAAATTTAATGGACATTTATAAAGAGGCAGTTTAGGGAGAATGAAATAGCTCTGCGGTGATATTTTAATGACAACCATCTTTCAAATGCAGATTATCTTCTATGAAGACAGGAACTTCCAGGGCCGTCACTATGAGTGTAGTAGTGACTGTCCTGAGATGCAGAGCTTCCTTACCCGCTGCAACTCCATAAAGGTTGACAGTGGCTGTTGGGTGGCCTACGAAAAGCCCAACTATTCAGGCTACCAATACATGCTGCACAAGGGAGAATATCCTGACTACCAGCGTTGGGCCGGCTTCAACGATTGCATCCGCTCATGCCGCATCGTCCCTCCTGTGAGTTTTTGAATGATGCACATACCTTGCTTGCTGCAAGGTTTTCTTTAAACATGCAACACAATTTTACCTTTACGTTTTTCCCTCTGTAGTACAACGGAAACTACAGGATGAAGATCTTTGAGCGTTCTGACTTCGCAGGACAAAATATGGAGGTGGTGGAAGACTGCCCTGATCTCAATGAGCGCTTCCACACGCGTGACATCTCCTCTGTCAATGTCATGGAGGGCTACTGGATGCTCCATGAACACACCAACTACAGGGGGCGCCAATACTTCTTGCGTCCAGGAGAGTACAGAAGGCACATTGAGTGGGGAAGCACAAGCGCTACCTTTGGCTCTCTGAGACGCGTCACAGAAAACAACTAAATTTCTGTTGATTTTTTCTTTTTTGCCCTCATTGAGCCCCACTCTTTAAACCTTCCTCTTGTGTCTCTCATGCCAGCTCTGTTGGAGCATGGTCACAACTGTGTGGTATCCAAACCTGCAATCAAACACTTTATGGTGGTTTGGTCTAACCAAAGTGGGATTAAACTTACTTTGGTTGCTTTGCATTGAAGCTATTCTCCAACAAAGCGCTAAAACAAAACAGAATATTGACAATCTTTTTTTTTTTTGCATTGGGTTTCCCATTGCAAAAAAGATTTTGCCAGCAGGTCCTGAACCTTCTGTCCCAATGAAATCACAATAAATAAATAAAAACTTTACGAAAATCAACAAAAGACTTCTTGATTTTTATTCTCCAGCACAGCTGTCACTTTAATGTGATCTCTTCTTTTAAAATGTAGATACAGACATTTATACAGACATGAAGAGTAGCCATTGAGGTCCTTGCAAGACCAAGACTTTGCAGTTTTCTAGAGCTTCATTAAACATACACAGAAAGAAATTCTCAAGGAAACAGAAGCTTATTGTTTGAAGTTTGCTGTTAAAGACATAAAGAAGAGCATCTGAGAATGGACATGTTGGAGTCTTTATGAGATCACATGGTACAGAGTGAGCGCTTCGGGTCCATGAAAGAAGCCCATGTTAGATCAACATCATAAGACCAGTACCAACTCAAAGAGCCAGAGTCAAAGTGGCCTGTTATTAGCCCCGAGCGTCAAGCTCTCTCAGAACAAAAAACAAAAACCCCGTCCACAATCTCTGCTCATGCATTTTTCATCACACTCAGATTCTGAGAGCTTTCAGAAATAAATATCAATTATTGAAATTTTTAATTAGACACAGCATAATTGGAGAAGAGACACATGAATAAATAACTTTGACCATTAATTATTGATTTAAAAAATATGAGGCCCAGCAGGAAAAGCATTTGAAAGCCTTAAGATCAAGCTAAACAAGTATTATGAGTTTTGGCCTTGAGTAATGTTCAATTAAAGGAGTGTCGCTATTGGCCGATCTTTTTTCTTTGACATTCAAGAGCAACAATGCTCAGGGGATAACAAAACATCAACAGGGTTCAGCGGGGGACAGGTTGTGCTGGATTCTTGGGGCACTGATCATTAGAGATAACAGAAACACCCTGAAATATGAAGTTTTTAGGCAGAAATAGAGCTGTGGTTTCTGATAATAATAAAATTAGTTGAAAGTAAAAAAAAAATCCAAATTTGGATTTAGCAGTACCTGTTATTTAAGTTTAACATTTTAAGACAAATATCCTTTAGTGTTTCAAAATAAGAACTCCAAGACTCTTTATTTGTATCTTTGTCTAGTGTAGTTGGATGTGTGTATATCAGAGATGGCAAAAGTGTTCACTTTCCGTACTTGAGTAAAAGTACAGATACTTGTGTTAAAAAATACTCTGGTAAAAGTGGAAGTACTGATTAAACTTCTTTACTCAAGTAAAAGTAACAAAGTACAGGCTAGTAAATTTACTTAAGGTATAAAAGTAAAAGTAGAAACCACTTTTTTCATGCCGTTGCCTACATTTTAAATGGATGTCTGCCAATAGGACTAGATCTCTGTTGTGTTCATTTTCAATCATCTCGTCGTCCATGCTACTATGCTAATGCCACCGCCACCAAGCTGCAATGATTTGCCGCCAATGAATACCGCCGAATCTGTCGATTCATCTTGTAGTGGTGCGTCAAATGCAACGTAGATTCCCATCCAATTAGATTGAATTTGGTATTGATGACGTGAAAAATAATAACGGTAACTCTATTGAAATGATTCAAAACTAAAGTAACGAGCCAATTTTTTAATATGTAAGGAGTAAAAAGTACAGATATTTGTGTAAAAATGTAAGGAGTAGAAGTAAAAAGTCGCCATAAAAATAAGTAGTAAAGTAAAGTAAAAATATCAGAAAAATCTACTTGAGTACAGTAACGAAGTATTTGTACTTCGTTACTTCCCATCTCTGGTGTATATATATATAAAACTGTAACTGGAGCGTGTAACAAAAGTAATTTCCCTCTGACATTATTAAAGTATTTCTGATTCTGATGTAGAATTAAACTGAAATAACAGCAAATATGCTGGGAGTATAGATGTACATACTACCAAAACGAAAATTTCTCTAAACGTCTTTCTGAACTGTTTCTAACATTCAGTATTTGGTTAGGAGTCTATGGCTTCCATCATGCTAAAGGCTTCCCAGATCCATCCGATAGAGACATATCTTGTCCTCAGTCCTCTTTATTTGAACCCGCACATTTAATCTCAGATTTATATCTAGATTTTACAGTAAGGTAGGTCATTATTTGTTGATTAGGGATGAAAAGGGTAATGCTTTCTGATCACTGGTGTTTATAACTACACATTATTACAATGTTTAGAGACACTGCCAGCTGTGAGGTTGACCTCTACGCTTCAATTCTAAGTCTTTTACAGCTCCATTCTGCTTCCCATTGATTCTGACAAACTCCTCTCTACCTGCTAAAACAACCTCTGCAGCATGATGCTGCCCCCACCCAGTTTTACTGGGCTGATAAGTTGTTGTGTATTTTTCCTGGTGCAAAAGCACTTTTCAATAGTTGCCCAAAGGAAACTTTTGGTTTCATCCTATCGTAATGCTTTCCCCCAAGATTCTTCTCTTTTTATATAACTTAGAAGAATAATATAAGGGATTCTTGCAGCCATAAGAAGATAAACAGATCAAGCTAGAATTTTACTGTGCATTGATTATGATTTCTGGTACTTTTCTCCTGTGACACAATTTGTAGATTAGATACTTTTGGTGTATTGTAACCTCCCTACAAACTATATCTGCAGCTTTGTTGCAGGTATGCAAATGTCGAAACAATTCTTGCAGATACAGCTGAACTTAATATCGATTAAGATGCTAATTTCAGAACAGGAATGCTTAAAATTAAATCCATCCCTGCCTCAAC